TCTAAGAATTGAATCAAGATCCCTCAATGAAGCAATTACCATATTTCATTGATTCTTGGATGTACATTTTTTCACATTAACGTCTCTGAAACAGAGGTGTGTCCTACAATCAAAAGTATGTTATGGTTTAATTGGCAGCTTTATTTTCCTCGATTGGTATATAAATAATAGTGTATCTTACAATCAGTGGCATCTTAGACTTCATAAAATATGAAAGAGAGACCCAATGGAGATCTTAGCAAGAAAATAAGTTTAAAAACCAGATAATGTCTTCAGTTTTGTTCTTTAATTCCTATGGGTCCAAGAAAAACTGACTTTGTCAATTCACCACTAATGGAATTAAGCAGGAGAAATATTCTACCAAATCCAATATATTCCTCACCAAGCCTAGAGAATGTCCAAGATCCCAATTCCATCATATAAAAAAGTGCTAAATACAGCTTATTTGACCCTACAGCAAATCATGAACCCACAAAGAAGGAAATAAGGCAAGCTCTGACAACATGTTCTTATAACAAATCCAGAATAGCTAGCAGTATTCTGGAAAAATTAATTCAGGATATACTTTAAACATAATTCATTTGTTTTTTCTTGTCCAAAAGACTATCAACTTTGGGAGAGTACAACACTATGCCTTCACTATACTACCCCAACCTTATGTACTGCTAGTATTTTTGAAGATTGGGTATTTTGATAATAAGCATACTTGTTATGTCATAAAAAAAACAAGTACACATTCCCTTTAAAGGTGATGAACGAGTTCTATATATCAAAATCAAACTCTAAAGCACAGAATGAGGGAACAGAAAGTACTTCCAACACTTTGATTTTACAGATGAGTAAAATGAGGTTCAGAAAGGGAAGGAGATTGGTTCAAGGTCACATAAGTCAGTGGCAAAACAGGGCTAAGACCCAGCTGAGTTGTCAATCTAGTCTACTTTTTCCCTATTACATTAGCTACTAACTGGTATTAAAAAAAAAATTAAGTGTTGAAGAAATACGAAAGCTTGACCAAAAAATTAGCATGAAGGGTTGTACTTGGATTATAGACAGCAAAGGGGTTAAAAGCCCAAGTTTAAAATCCATTTCCATCATGTATCAACTGAGTCACTTGGGGTATGTCATTTAATTACTCTGAGCCTAATTAATTTCTTTGAGTATATAAAATGAGGATAATAGCCCTTGCCCTGCCAATCCCCCAAGGACATCATAAGAATCACATGAGGGAGCCAGGCTCAGTGGCTCACACCAGTAATCCCAGCACTTTGGGAGGCCGAGGCAGGCAGATCACTAGAGGTCAGGAGTTCGAGACGAGCCTGGCCAACATGGTGAACCATCTCTACTAAAAATACAAAAATTACCCAGGTGTGGTGGTGCCTGCCTGCAGTTCCAGTTACTCAGGAGGTCAAGGCAGGAGAATCACTTGCACCTAGGAGTCACAGGCTTTAGTGAGCCAAGATTGTACTACAGCACTCCAACCTGGGTGACAGAGCAAGACTCCATCTCAAAAACAAAAAAGAATCACATGAGGTAATTCACATGTGAGCATACACAAATTAAGGTAGTATTAACATAACAAATAGTATGAGAGGATGGCAAACAGGGAAAGGAGATATATGACACCTAAAAACACTTGTGCCAAATACACAATTTTGCCTAGAGTTGGCCCTAGTCTCCAACTTACAAAAAATTAAAATTCTTGCAAACATATATACATGTGTACAAATTTGTACATACAAAAGTAGATATATGCACATGTATCTATACATATACACTCAATATTATTCATACATGCATGCACAAATGAACATACACATAATTACCTGAATGTGTATATTTATACATATGTTCATTCATGAATACCTGAGTGGACTTTATCTTTGTTCATGAATATTTCAGGGGGCTTTAATTTCAAATATATGCAAATCCACAGGGCTATGCCTCCATATACATAAATACTTACATGCCACTTGCACATATCTATATACATACATGCAAGAAAGATCTTTCCCAAAAACTTAGCCACCGATGCTTTCAAAGACAGCCTCTAATCTGATGTTTCCATGACAAGTTCCTTCAACATAAACTCTAATTTCCTGACTAGAAAACTTTTCCACACAGTAACCCTCCACCCCAATTCGCCTTGAAATAACTCAGTCCCTCAATGGATGAAGTGAGGCAGATTCAGTGGGCCAGACGAGAGAAAGGAAATACTGCTGGGCACATGCATGGCCCTCTCCTGGGCACCACCATGGCAGCATGAGTGAAGCTGCAATCTGTCATCTCCACCATCTGTGCCCTTGAAACAAGCCAGATACTGGCTGGGAAAAGACCCCTTCAAAATTCGCTAGTTCATCCTGGTTCTCACCTTCCCAATAATACTGCCCTTTGAAGGAGGCAATATAAGTAAAAAGTGCTGGACTGGAAATTAAAAGACTAGCCCACCATTAATTTAGCATATTAGAAAGACCTTCTTTGGCTTTCACACCTGCAAAGCAAGGGATAGCTGGTCTGCTGTGGAAGGAAAGCCTCCAAGAAACATTACTAGGGGCAAGTAGTACATTCAAAAGGTGCTGGTATAGGAATTAGGAGACCTGGGTTCTAATCCCAATTTTATGATTAAAAACACTCTGGAAAATATGGTCCCTTCTACCGAGGGCACATCTAAAGAATATTTATTATTATTGACCTTTTTTTTCATTTGACTGATAAAAATTAGTTCCCTGAGGAAGCCATACATTAATGTTATTAAATAACTAATAATAATAACAATAATGATAATGATAGTTACATTTCTATGGTGCTGTTTTACAACTTATAAAAAACTTTCACATCAATCAGCTCACTTATTTCTCACTATAACGTCTTTTTTTTTTTTTTTTTTTGAGACAAGNCATAAAGACATTTGAGACACAAAGCACAATTCAGCTTAAAGCCTCTTCTTTAATAATTTACTATTCAAAGATTTTATATTTGCAAATTCTTCCCCCTCATTTGATGAAAGGTAGCACAAATCAGGGGAAAGCAGTATAGGCTGGGAATCAGATGCCTATTGCCATTAACTCTTTTCCATTTCAGTTTTATCATCTACAAGGATAATAACTAGCCTCAGAAAGCTTCTGTGAGGATCCAGAGTCAATAAGAAAGGATCCAAGAGGCTGCAAGGCACTGAACGTGTGAATATGGTTTTTTATAATCAATAAGTGTAAAAATGACTCAGAGTAAACCAGTCCCCTCTGCTAGAAGCATAGTTCAAAGTATTTTGATAATGACTCGGTATTGTGTTAGAACTTAACTGCTCCCCTGCTTAAGTTCTTTAAGCTTCTCATCACCTTTAAGATAAAGTCGAACTCCTACATGATCTGTCCTGCTTACCACTCCTCCTCATCACCCACCTCTACTTCCTTCACAATTCACATTCTAGTCATAACAAACTACATCGCAGTTCCTTGTACAAGTATACTTCTCAAACTTCCTTGCCCACACATATGCTATTCTCTTTCTGTGTGGAATACCTGCATTTTCCCTTAATTATTGCTCTAAATAACTAACTCATTCAGCTCAGGCTTTACCATCAGGAAGCTTTCTCTGACATATCCAACCTTTCATTCAGTAAATGTTTACCAAATGCTAAGGCTTGCCAGATGCCAAGGACATAACAATTAACAAGTCAGAGACAGCCCTTGGCTTCATGAAGGTTAGCATGCTGCAATATAATTGCCTATCTGTACCTTCAAGCACAAACAGAAATCATGAAGAATTGGCTGCTTGAGGTCTTCAACCTCAAGGCTAAGAGGTTCTTAGGTATTGGGATATGTCTGACCATCTCTGTAATGTCACTTATTCACACCAGACTTGGCACAGTATAAACTAGGGCTTTTGCAAATGTGAAGTAATTCAATATGGCATAACCACTTATGTACAAGAGACACCATCAGATGTAAAAAATAAATAGCAACCAGGTGTGGTAGCTCATACCTGTAACCCTAACACTTCTGGAGGTCGAGGCAGGAGGATCACTTGAAGCCAGGAGTTTGAGAACACCCTGGGCAACATAATGAGAACCCCGTCTCTACCAAAATGTTTTAAAAATTAGCTAAGTGTGGTGGCTCATGTCTGTAGTCCCAGCTACTCAGAGGGCTGAGGCAGGAACATCATTTGAGCCCAGGAGTTTGAGTTTACGAGCTATGATCATACCGTTGCACTCCTGCCTGGGCAACAGAGCAAAATCCCATCTCTTTAAAAAAAAAAAAAAAAAGGCAGCATTTTCTTATATGCATCATATTTTACTATTTATAGGACCCTCATTTTATCCTTGTAATTGCCCTGGAAAATAGAATTTGTAGGTTAAGAGAGACAGAGGAACCTTTGAGATCATCTAGTTTACTTCCCAGACAATTCTTCATGATTTCTATAACATCCCTTTGAGTGTCAAAACATTCATTACAACTTCAGAGGACAGAATGAATGACCTTAAATGAATAAAATCTGCTACCTTCAACAATTAGTACTAATGTTGGTTTTGCAGATTCCATAGACCAAAGAGAGGAAATTTTCTTCTAAATGTAGGTATCTGAAGACATGTCCAGGTAAGGGCAGAGTGTATCATACTCATTTTATTGATGAAGAAATTGAAACTCAAAGAGGCAAACTGACTTTCCCAAGGTTCAAACCTACAAATTAAAAAACCGAGCCTAAATATATCTTCTGGTTCCAAGGTTAGAATTTCTAGAACATTTTACAACTATTATGAATCCATAAAAATAAAAAATAAAAATATTATCACAAAGAAAGAATTTCTAGGACATTAAAGCTGGAAGGGATACCCCCTACTTATTATATCTTATTTCTTTATTGGATAGGTAGGAATTCTGAGGCCAAGGGTGGGGGAGTGACTAATTGACTAATATGAGTGCCTCACAGCTCAGGCTCTACCTCTACAACACTGTCTTGATCCTTACCTCCACATGTGCCCACATCAAAATAAAGTAAATACTTACCAAAGCATTAGAAGAATTATAATCCTCAGCTGACTTATCTGCAGAGGAAGAAAGACAAGGGACTTAGTCAATAAACAATTACAGTTAATTCTTTCTTGAGACCAAAAGAAGTCTATCCGGTCAAGCACTTGCCAGATCCAGAGAATAATAATAGTGTGAATGGTAATATAGGCTAGATATCATGTTGAACACATTATACATATCACATTCTTTAATCCTCATTATGGCTCTGAGTACTATTATTATGTCTATTTTTATTGATTTGGAAACTGAAGTTCAGAGATGTTAAGTACAGTTGTGTGTGGATCCGCAATGGGGTACGTTCTGTGAAATGTGTCATCAGGTAATTTTGTCATTATGTTAACATCATAGAGTGTACTTATACAAACCTAGATTGTATAGCCTCCTACACACCTGGGCTATATTGTACAGCCTATTGCTTTCTAGACTACAAACCTGTACAGCATGTTATTGCAGGCAACTATAACACAACAGTAAGTATTTGTGTATCTAAACATAAAAAAGGTACAATAAAAAATATGGTTTAAAAGGTAAATAAAAGGATACACCTATATAAGCACTTACCATAAACAGAGCCTGCAGGACTGTAAGTTGCTCTGGGTGAGTCAGTGAGTGAGTGATGAGTAACCATGAAGGCCTAAGTAGGACATTACCAGTGTATACTCAGGCTATGCTACATTTATTTTAAACTTAAGCAATTGCTAGGTGATAAGAATTTTTCAACTCCCTTATAATGTTATCAGACCACCATTGTATATGTGGTCTGTTGTCGTGGTAAATGACTGCTATTTGTCCAGGGTACACACAGGTTAAAGAGAGGAATTAGACTTGAATTCTGGTCTCATTCTAAATACTATGTTAGAACTGGATCCACATCATCAGCTATATCACTGTCAGGCTTAAATGGCCAAGAAAATATGCATTCTAAAAGAAAAAGAAAGAATCCATAGCACCATCCTGAGCCATCCATGTCAAATCATGGCCAGCCTCCAGCTTCAGCTTTCTTAAAGGATTCTTCTATATCCATACCTACTGCTCACAGGGACAGAAAGACTAAGGTTGAGGAAGAGAGTTATTAATCCTGTCAAGTCTAATTAAAGGTAGGGTCTTGTTTTCTAAGAATTGAATCAAGATCCCTCAATGAAGCAATTACCATATTTCATTGATTCTTGGATGTACATTTTTTCACATTAACGTCTCTGAAACAGAGGTGTGTCCTACAATCAAAAGTATGTTATGGTTTAATTGGCAGCTTTATTTTCCTCGATTGGTATATAAATAATAGTGTATCTTACAATCAGTGGCATCTTAGACTTCATAAAATATGAAAGAGAGACCCAATGGAGATCTTAGCAAGAAAATAAGTTTAAAAACCAGATAATGTCTTCAGTTTTGTTCTTTAATTCCTATGGGTCCAAGAAAAACTGACTTTGTCAATTCACCACTAATGGAATTAAGCAGGAGAAATATTCTACCAAATCCAATATATTCCTCACCAAGCCTAGAGAATGTCCAAGATCCCAATTCCATCATATAAAAAAGTGCTAAATACAGCTTATTTGACCCTACAGCAAATCATGAACCCACAAAGAAGGAAATAAGGCAAGCTCTGACAACATGTTCTTATAACAAATCCAGAATAGCTAGCAGTATTCTGGAAAAATTAATTCAGGATATACTTTAAACATAATTCATTTGTTTTTTCTTGTCCAAAAGACTATCAACTTTGGGAGAGTACAACACTATGCCTTCACTATACTACCCCAACCTTATGTACTGCTAGTATTTTTGAAGATTGGGTATTTTGATAATAAGCATACTTGTTATGTCATAAAAAAAACAAGTACACATTCCCTTTAAAGGTGATGAACGAGTTCTATATATCAAAATCAAACTCTAAAGCACAGAATGAGGGAACAGAAAGTACTTCCAACACTTTGATTTTACAGATGAGTAAAATGAGGTTCAGAAAGGGAAGGAGATTGGTTCAAGGTCACATAAGTCAGTGGCAAAACAGGGCTAAGACCCAGCTGAGTTGTCAATCTAGTCTACTTTTTCCCTATTACATTAGCTACTAACTGGTATTAAAAAAAAAATTAAGTGTTGAAGAAATACGAAAGCTTGACCAAAAAATTAGCATGAAGGGTTGTACTTGGATTATAGACAGCAAAGGGGTTAAAAGCCCAAGTTTAAAATCCATTTCCATCATGTATCAACTGAGTCACTTGGGGTATGTCATTTAATTACTCTGAGCCTAATTAATTTCTTTGAGTATATAAAATGAGGATAATAGCCCTTGCCCTGCCAATCCCCCAAGGACATCATAAGAATCACATGAGGGAGCCAGGCTCAGTGGCTCACACCAGTAATCCCAGCACTTTGGGAGGCCGAGGCAGGCAGATCACTAGAGGTCAGGAGTTCGAGACGAGCCTGGCCAACATGGTGAACCATCTCTACTAAAAATACAAAAATTACCCAGGTGTGGTGGTGCCTGCCTGCAGTTCCAGTTACTCAGGAGGTCAAGGCAGGAGAATCACTTGCACCTAGGAGTCACAGGCTTTAGTGAGCCAAGATTGTACTACAGCACTCCAACCTGGGTGACAGAGCAAGACTCCATCTCAAAAACAAAAAAGAATCACATGAGGTAATTCACATGTGAGCATACACAAATTAAGGTAGTATTAACATAACAAATAGTATGAGAGGATGGCAAACAGGGAAAGGAGATATATGACACCTAAAAACACTTGTGCCAAATACACAATTTTGCCTAGAGTTGGCCCTAGTCTCCAACTTACAAAAAATTAAAATTCTTGCAAACATATATACATGTGTACAAATTTGTACATACAAAAGTAGATATATGCACATGTATCTATACATATACACTCAATATTATTCATACATGCATGCACAAATGAACATACACATAATTACCTGAATGTGTATATTTATACATATGTTCATTCATGAATACCTGAGTGGACTTTATCTTTGTTCATGAATATTTCAGGGGGCTTTAATTTCAAATATATGCAAATCCACAGGGCTATGCCTCCATATACATAAATACTTACATGCCACTTGCACATATCTATATACATACATGCAAGAAAGATCTTTCCCAAAAACTTAGCCACCGATGCTTTCAAAGACAGCCTCTAATCTGATGTTTCCATGACAAGTTCCTTCAACATAAACTCTAATTTCCTGACTAGAAAACTTTTCCACACAGTAACCCTCCACCCCAATTCGCCTTGAAATAACTCAGTCCCTCAATGGATGAAGTGAGGCAGATTCAGTGGGCCAGACGAGAGAAAGGAAATACTGCTGGGCACATGCATGGCCCTCTCCTGGGCACCACCATGGCAGCATGAGTGAAGCTGCAATCTGTCATCTCCACCATCTGTGCCCTTGAAACAAGCCAGATACTGGCTGGGAAAAGACCCCTTCAAAATTCGCTAGTTCATCCTGGTTCTCACCTTCCCAATAATACTGCCCTTTGAAGGAGGCAATATAAGTAAAAAGTGCTGGACTGGAAATTAAAAGACTAGCCCACCATTAATTTAGCATATTAGAAAGACCTTCTTTGGCTTTCACACCTGCAAAGCAAGGGATAGCTGGTCTGCTGTGGAAGGAAAGCCTCCAAGAAACATTACTAGGGGCAAGTAGTACATTCAAAAGGTGCTGGTATAGGAATTAGGAGACCTGGGTTCTAATCCCAATTTTATGATTAAAAACACTCTGGAAAATATGGTCCCTTCTACCGAGGGCACATCTAAAGAATATTTATTATTATTGACCTTTTTTTTCATTTGACTGATAAAAATTAGTTCCCTGAGGAAGCCATACATTAATGTTATTAAATAACTAATAATAATAACAATAATGATAATGATAGTTACATTTCTATGGTGCTGTTTTACAACTTATAAAAAACTTTCACATCAATCAGCTCACTTATTTCTCACTATAACGTCTTTTTTTTTTTTTTTTTTTGAGACAAGGTTTCAGTCTGTTGCCCAGGCTGGAGTGCAAGTGACGTGATCCCTGCTCACTGCAACCTTCACCTCCCAGGCTCAAGCGATTCCTTCACCTCAGTTTCCCAAGTAGCTGGGACCATAGGCATTTTCCACCACACCCAGCTAATATTGTATTTTTTGTAGAGACAGGGTTTTGCCATGTTGCTCAGGCTAGTCTCGAACTCCTGACCTTGAGCTATACTCTGGCCTTGGCCTCCCAAAGTATTGGGATTACAGGTATGAGCCACTGCACCCAGCCATTTCCACTACAGCCTCTTGAGATAGGAATTATTATTCCCATTTTGAGGTGCAAAAAACTGAAGTGACTGTTAGAACCTAATAAGTGTCAGAATCTAGACCTTCTAGCACAAAGCCTGTGTTCTCTATATATAATACCATGCTATTTTTAAAAAAAACATGTGCAGTGTCAGAGTGAATACTCAAGTTTGATGCAAAGTCCATTATCTTGGCTGTCAAATTCCAAAATTCCACATTAGTTAAAGTGCCATTTCCACTCTTTCCACTACTTTCTTCTCTCACCCCAAACCAATAGGCATGTGAGCTTTCCCACCCAGATAAAAACCATCTCTTTCTGAGACTGCCCTGAACACAGTTCTCATACCTGTAAAGCTCATGTATTTCTGGCTATTGGATGTCTTCTTTGAGTTATAAAACTCCAACACATCCAGAACAGCCTGTGGGTTTTTCTTCTGCTCCGACTTAGTGATATTTGATGTCTGAAGCAAGCGGGCCCACTGCTCTGGCATTCCCTATAAGAAAGACATGCAAGGCTGACAGGAAGGCACAGTCACAGGGGACCCTGAAAGAACATCAGAGTTAACTCTGACACTTGCTAGCAGCAAAAGATGCATTTGTTAGTCATTTCTTTCTCTCTATGCCCTCATAGTTTACACAAGTCTCTTTTACAATACCTTTCTCATTTTATTAGTCATTTCTTAAGATGTCTGCTTCTTCACCAGGCTATACCTCTAGGATGGTGGGATAGGATTTTGTTCTTGCATGATCAGTGCCCCACACAGAGCCTGCTACCAAGCCTGCCATTTAATAGAGGTTTATTTTAGGAATGGAGATGGAAAGGCTTCTCTGGATACAATTTTGGAGACGAAAGTGTCCCTCTCATGAACGTAAGAAAAATGTAATCAGGGTCTCAGGCAAAGAGAGACCTGAACATCAGGAAGATGCATCAGGAAGATGAGAAAGTGTTGAATCTAACAGTACACAGAAAGATGAGACAGGGTTGAATCTAGCAGTGCATAGCCAGAACTCTAAAAGACTAAAGGCCTTTCTGTGACCCAGGACTTACCGTAAACTCCCCTGTGACAGCATCAAAACCGACATGAATTGTGTGTTCAAAATCTGAAGGAAGAGAAATCTCTGGCCGCTCTTTCTCTTTCTTTTTATTTGCTGCAAGAGAAACAGAGAAAAGGAAATAAAAAACAGGAACATCATTGTTTTAAGGCTTATTTTAGCGCTTTATTGAGCTGTAGTCTCCTTTAGAGGGCAAAGTCTATCTATTAATATTTCACATATATAGAAGAGCCCAATTATGGACCCAGATTGGAGCAGATACTCAATGCATGTTTAAGGACTTAATTTCTTGTTGAATTAAAGTAAGGGAGATGGCCAGGCGTGGTGGCTCATGCCTGTAATCCTAGCACTTTGGGAGGCCAAGGCAGGCAGATTGCTTGAGTCCAGGAGTTCAAGCTCAGCCTAGGCAATGTGGCAAACCCTGTCTCTACACAAAATACAAAAATTAGCTAGGCATGGTGGTGCATGCCTGTAGTGCCAGCTACTTGGGAAACTGAGGCAAGAGGATCATTTGAGCCCAGGATGCAGAGGTTGCAGTGAGCCAAGATCACACCATTGCACTCCAGCATGGGTGACAGAGTGAGAACCTGTATCAAAATAAATAAATAAAATAAAATAAAGTAGGGAGAGGCAAAAAGAACATCTGTCAGTGTTCACAGTCCTGGTTTACCAGTAACTAGCCAGGTGATATAGGGTAAGTCATCTTTTTTAGGAAGTCCTCCTTGATCTCTAGGTTGGGTGGTTCTTTACCCTCTCTGTTCCCACAGTACCCAATATACGTAATAGTCATTGCCTATTATAAGTGTTTATCTTCCACAACAGACTGAATTCTAAGTGCAGGGGCCATGTCAAATTAATCACAGCTTCCCAAGGGATAGCACACACCTGGCACAAAGTAGGTGCTCAGATAGTAAGCGAAGAAAGGAACAAATGACAAGACATTTACCTCAACTGGGCAGGGAGTTTAAGGAATCTGCCTAAGACGCACAAATTATGTCCAGGGCAGGAATAAACGTTCATTTCAGCAGCTCTGGCCTGACTTTCACAACACTTGTTACCCAGCCCCTGTCAACCTTATTTTAAAACCCTGATGTTTTTAAAACACAGGAGCTCAACACACTAACCAAAAGAAATTCTGAAGTTCTAAAACCTCCACAGACTTAGCATAACCCTGATAAAACGTAGCAAAATGAGAAGGAAAAACAAAAAAGGTCTAGAGTTCAAGCCAGTTTAACCTCTACCTCACCACAGTGCATACACACACACACACACACATACACACACACACACACACACACACACACACACACACACACACAGAGATATATATATGCAGGATCTCTGCTTTCTCATTTAAACAATGGGGAGGACAAGCTAGATGATCTTAAGGGTCCCTCCAGCTCCCACATTCTGTGAGTCTATGAAAACAAGAAGCTATGCCTTCTCAAAGCTCTGCAGTTAAGATTCCTTCCTGAAAAGGCATCCTACAGTTTTAAATAGGTATTTTACACATATCATCTAATACAATCACCACAATCCTGAGGCAGTTTTTACTTGCAGATTAGAAAATTTCGGAACAGACTTGCCTACAGTCATTAAGTAATTAAAATCGAAAAAGTCTGGCATCCAAGCCATGGTCCTTTACATTCTATTTTATCTCCTCTAAAAAATTTCAAGTTGAATCAGGAAAACATACTTCAGTGTAATAAGAAGAAATGACATTAAGAACTTGAGATGTATACATACCATGACATCAACATAGTATTTTTCTTCATTCTTACAATCCTATGAGATAGATATTACTATTGTCATTCTTACAATGCTATGAGAAAAATACTACTAATGTCATTTTACAGATGAGGAAACTAAATAATTTACTCATACAACTACTGAGAGCTGGGATTTGAACCCAGGTCTGATTCCAAAGGTTCATTCTTCAGTTTCTTAATGAGAACCATTTGCCTACATGCCAAGTGCTAGGGTTTAAGCTATTTATGCACTTGGCAATTTCCCTCTCACAAGCAGCTGCTTTGAGAAAAAGAAGGCTAAGGGGTATACCAGGGCCCCAAGTCAAGCAGCCATTTATGACGTAAGTCCATCTGTCTTTCTCATAGCCAGAATGCATGGAACAAGTGGCAGGGCTTTGGAACTGCTTTTAAATTCCCTCTGATCTAGTCACTTTAGAGAAATACAATTATATTCCTGTTTTATTTAGATTTTAATTTTTTATATCTATGTATGTTTATATATTTTTATTATATATAATTAATATACTATATAATACATTACAGGCATAAACTGTCAAATGCAGAAGAAACTTTGGTAAAGGAGACCCAAAAAGAAAGTTAGCTCAAAGCATGAGCAGTTCACAGAAAAGAGTTCTAGAGAAATGAAATCATTTAATACATGAACACACAGGGTAATGCTAAAGTCAGCTCTGCTTCTACTGGGCACTCCTTACTCTGCAACCTTTGAATATACCTCAAATAGTCCCCCTTTCCAGTTTTTGCTCACTTTTTCATCTCCTTGTTTGGAATGCTCTCCTCTCCTTCTCTCTATCTCAGCCATCTTTTAAAGATTGGCTCAGGTCCTACTTTTTCCAGGAAGGATTTCCTGACCTTTCTTCTTCCTGTTAATTCCCAAGGCCTTGAGTCTGCTACACCACCAAGCATCTAGTCATTTCCTGTCTTACATGATTCCATGCTAATTTAAAAATCCAAAGTGAAGGTTCTTGAGGAACAAAATTACCACTTCTAATTATAATCATTATACTTCTGAATTTCAATCTAGCACAGGGTTTACTTAGTTCAAGAACACTCTAGAAAATATTAGGGAGTGGCGGGGCATGGTGGCTCACATCTGTAATCTCAAAACTGGGAGGCTGAGGTGGATGGATCACTTGAGGACAGGAGTTCAAGACCAACCTGGTCAACATGGCGAAACTCTTGTCTCTCCTAAAATTACAAAAATTAGCTGGGTGTAGTGGCACGTGCCTGTAATCCCAGCTATTCAGGAGGCTGAAGCATGAGAATAGCTTGAACCAGGAGGCAGAGGTTGAAGAGAGCTGAAATCCCACCACTGCATTCCAGCCTGGGTGACAGAATGAGACTGTGTCTCAAAAAAATAAAGAATTAGGGAGTGACTCTAGAGACCATGTAATCCCATTCCCGGAGGAAAGAGGCCCAGAGAAGTAAGTTGACTTGTCCTGATTCACAGAGCACATGATTGTAGTTCAGGTGATCAAGTCTTTCACTCTTGATTATATCCCTGATCCCTACTGAGATTTGACTGGAATCAACTACCTACTGAAATAACAGTTTTTAGCATAGATGATTAGATGTGGAGTACAAGAAGGGCAATGGCTTGGCTGAAGTGGGAGAGGAGAGAAGTAAAAAGAAAGAGGAAATAAATCTAGGTGGCAGGATTTAGTTTGGGTACTGTGTAATTTTTTGTTTGTTTGTTTGAGACAGTCTTACTCTTGTTGTCCAGGCTGGAGTGCAATGGCACAATCTCAGCTCACTGCAACCTCCGCCTCCCATGTTCAAGCAATTCTCCCTCCTGAGTAGCTGGGATTACAGGCACCTGACATGACACCTGGCTATTTTTTGTATTTTCAGTAGAGACAGGGTTTCACCATGTTGCCCAGGCTGGTTTTGAACTCCTGACCTCAAGTGAGGAGGAGACCCACCTCTGCCTCCCAAAGTGCTGAGATTATAGGCATGAGTGACCACACCCAACCTGGTACTGGGTAATATTTAGACTGAGTATTCACCAGCTGGGGATCATCAGCAGAAAACAGGATTCCAGAAGCAGGAATACAAGAGAGAAATGGAGAAGTCATGCAGTTCCAGAGCCACCTGGAACCCAATTAATCCCTTCTTGGAAGTAACAATCATCCCCTTCACATGTGTAGAGTCCTTCATCAAGCTCTGCCACAGTCACTGTCTGACTGGCTCATCACCACAAACCCAGGAGCTACACAGCTGAGGTCAGGGAATTAAAAGAAATCTCTGTCAGTGGAAAGAATCTCAGAGGAAGGAGGATTCAGTATTATTTTTGCCATTAACTCACTGGGTGATCCTGGGAAAGTCTCTGAGAGTTTCTTCAATCTGCAAAATAAGACAATGGGATATACTCTGTGTACAGATGAAGGTAAGAAATAAACCACCTTTCTGGAGAAGATAATACCTGAAAGAAGTCATGAAGGATGAAGACAAGTTAACCAGACTGAGACAGGAAAGGGCATTTCTGAAAGAAACAGAATAAGCAAAGGCCAGGAGAAGTAAACAGTGTGATCTTTCTCCCAGCTTTGCACCTGGTCAGCAAGTCAACCAAACTTCATAAACTCTAACCAGATTCACAAAGCACATGATTGTAGGCAGGAAGGCGCTATGAGCTTCAGACTGAGGGAAGACACAAAGGAGAAAATAAAGCAAATCCAGGATCCTGATGGTTCCATATCCCAAGGCTATAGTATCTGGGACCACTGCTGCTGTAGCAAATTTTTTATGATGACTAGAAGTATGTCTGCGGGAATCTGATGAAAACTTACGTCTACACAAAAACTTGTATGTGAATGTTCATAGCAGCTTATTCATAATAGTCAAAAAGTGAAGGTAACCCAAATGCCCCTCAAGTGATCAATAAAATGTGGTATATCCATATACTATTATTCAGCCATAAAGAGAAATGAAGTACCAATTCATACTACAACACAGATGAATCTTGAAAACATTATGCTAAGTGAAAGAAGTCAGTCAAAAAGGGACATAAACTGTATAATTCCATTAATATGAAATTTCCAGAATAGGCAAATCCATAGACAGAGAGTAGATTAGTGGTTGCCAGCGGAGAAGGGAGAAATGAGGAATGATTGCAATGAGTATAGAGTTTCTTTCTGGAGTGATGAAAATGTATTGGAATTAGTTGTAAGGGCTATACAATCTTATGAATATACTAGAAACCATGAAATTGTACATTTTAAGATGGTGACTTGTACGGCATGTGAGTTATATCTCAATTTTAAAAAAGTGAATGTAATTTAACACATTAAGAAAATAAAGGAGAAAATATATATAACCAATTCAATTAATGCA